ATGGTTCAACGCCTATAGGAGAGTAGAGATCCTAATTTCAGCTGACAATGATTCTCGAAGAAGAGCTAATCTCGATGATGCCATTAGTCTATCGGGCCAATGCGATGGCTGGGGGTCGAATTGAAACGAAATGTGAAATTCGAGTTGGTATTGGTTTCACCGGAAATGCGAGGACTTCATGAAGGCCTAACCGAGGTCAGATCCAATTCATTCGTACCTATACCGAAACCATTCACACTTTTTTCTGACTTCAGATCTGGGTCAATGTTCACAATTTGACTGAGGACACACGCTTTATGTGGGAAAAAGCGAGATTTATGAATCGTTACTACGGTATGCAGGAAATGTACGAAAATAAAATAGATGGCGAAGATTGGAATATGCCAAAGGTTTGCAATTTTTTTTTAAACATATTTAATAAATATGATTCATGACAATGAATTTAATCAGAAATATGATTTAACAACTGACGATAGCAAACTAAGCATTAGGCCACTTGAGCTCAAAGGGTAGCGCGGCGAGGCTAGGATCTAAAAATTGACACTAACTAATCTAAAGGGCACTAGCTGATCGGAAACTTGATGTCCAAAAATGGAAGTTGAGATAATAAATATTCCATCAGTGGAAAAAGGAACAACCCAAGAACTGCGGAGGAGCTCTTACTTGGCCTATATCTGGCCTTTGGCGCTAGACGAGATCCCACATCGCTGTGCGTCGGCTGGGTCATGGAGCAACCATGGGCTCTCGCCGAATGTACAGGGTGGTCCAAAATTATGAGGACCAAGACATTGTGTCGTTAAAAACGCATAGTAGCTTGATGGAACAAACCAACTTCAGGGAAGTATTTGTAACTCTTACCTCAAAGTAATTCCAGAATAGAATTGAGATCTGCCACCTGCCGCGTTTACACGAGCCTTCAGATGAAGATGGATGGCGCGTGCGCTGGCACGCAACTGAGGCGTGTCTAAATGTTTCCAGGCCTGCTCTTTGCTTCTTCAGGGAATCAAACTTTTGTGTTGCATTTATTTGCGCTTGCATCCAGGGTGTGAAATACAGAAATCTAGAGCTATCAGGTGGAAGGTTCCATTGTAACAATTCTTCGAAAGCAACGAACTCGAAAAATCGCTTTTTAGAGAATTTTTGCTTTATTCTTGGGTGCTCGGTCCTGTAAGAAGTCTAAGTAGACTACTCGTGTGGCTTTCTATCCACTACAGATGTGGAGTCTTTAGAGTGTCTGGCTGGGTTTTCACATCAATTTTTTCATTTTGGGAGTACGAAAGTTGACAAGGGGAGACCTAGTTTCTGCATCTTATAATTATCCTGGGGCTAACTGTAAGTTTCCAGTACCCGAATTTCCCATCTGTGGTGGTTTCGAACTTATTAAAGAGTTGAAAGGCTGCTCATTTGGGCTTCACTGATAGGTTATACTACTGCTAGATATAACGTGCCAGAGCCCCTAGTGAGTTCAATTTGAGGACTGACTTAAAGTGAAGTAGTTATTTCACTAGTTTTGAGAACTTCATGAAACTTGGTTTCATTAGGAAGAAGACAATGTACTCTTTCACATAGTGCACAGAAAACGAGATGAAAATGGAGCGATACGGAAAAAAGTGGATATAACTGCGCGCATATGCGGTCCTCATAATTTTGGACCACCCTGTAGATAGCAGAATCGGCAGCAGCTACCGGGTATCTGTACTTTAATAGTCGATTCAAATTCACCTTCAAACCGCCGGAGTTTTGTTGATTGACACTGCCCACAGGATAGCGTGTGGAATGTGGAAGTGTCACAGCTGATGATGCAGCCGGTAAGCCTATGCAACCGTTCTAGACTGCTAACCGTAATTATCACTGTCGGAAGCATGTGCACCTTAGAGCTTACAGCCCCCTTTAGATGCTCCTTCGCTGTTTCTCTGCCGTCTACGATTTGTTCCCGGCGCTCGTCGGAGCACGTAGACATAGATCTTCTTTGTGTTAGCAAGAAGCAGAGCAAAACGTTACGGTAATGACTTCAGACCGGTCCAAACTCTTCAACAGAGTGGAACCAAGTCCTTTTGGTTGCGGGCGTTTAGGCAAATTTCCTTAGACTTCTGGTTTTCTTTACCGCGCGATTATAGCAGCTTACTGACGTTTTCTAGCGGAAAACTATATATGTACCGCCTACTTTCATGGCAGAATTACGTTGACCTGCTAAAGCAACCAGCCAGCGGGGTTTTCACCTTCGGCAATAATGGTTTGGAAATATGGGGTATACTTGTGAAGAACATGAGAAGTTGTGGAACAAAAACTCACTTGTGGAAGCTGAAAGGGGAGTGAAAGGGTGTCAAGTGGGTTTCTGTGTTGAAGCGAGGGATTACGATAAGACTTGGAGTGGTTCATTGTGGAAGCGGAGGTGAGTAATGCTCCAGTGGCGAAAAAAGCAAGAAATCCGTCGAGAACGCGCAAAATGGGACCCCTTTCTTTGCCCGTTGACCTCCGATAATGGACGAGCTAGCAATAACTGAGAGGTCTTTTGCACATGTTAAACCGATAGCCACCATCATACTAGCAAAGGCCATGCTTTGATTGGTAACAAGTTCCATGGGAAAGTTATAGGATACGCACTCACAGCGGAATTCCTCATCAAAACGATAGATGAAGGACGCTGCGGCTGGGGGGGGCACAGGCCGTGGCGGAGCTCAGAAAGGAATTAGGCACCCAGTACGCTGCAGGGAGCGCACCTCTGGTAATAAACGCCACATATTCGATTCATTGGGCCACTGACCTACTGCCTTCGAAGTGGTTCGTGTATTCATGGTGCACAACACTATTGTATTCTCTCGCTTAAGTAACAATTTTCTGTTCGTGACTAGAGATAGAGAACATCGTTCACTATCATTAGTGTTGAAGCTGGAAACCTGCGGGACTATTTAAAAACATGCCGACAGTGAAGATTTCAGTGTTTACCATAATTAAAAGTGACTGTTATTAATACCCTCGGACCAAAAATGACTTAATAATCTAATGTGTCTCTCTTCTTGATTTTTCCAAAGTTCTATTCCGCATTTCTAATAATTTTATAGAATAATTCTAAATATTTCTAGGAACGCGACCCATTTTACGAAGCACCAGATTCAAAAACTTTTCTGGGCTCAGCGATCGTCTTCTTGCAACCACTCGCCTATTTGATGGATTCAGAGGAAAACGTACCCCATCGCGGACGCTCAAGGTCAAGATTTCTGGAGATTTTTCAAATATAAGCTGGCATTTTCTCAGCGAAAGGTGCGCTAGCTGCACCACATGTTAGGCCGATGTCAGACTTTGCGAATCGCGCGATTCGCTAGCGTCTGCGGTCGCGTCGCGGCCAGTGAATCACTCAATTGGCTGGTACCGCAACGCGACCGCGGACGCTAGCGAATCGCGCGATTCGCAAAGTCTGACATCGGCCTTAAGCTCCGACATTAAAAGTGCACCGCCTCAAAACCGTACTGCCTGTGGGGTTTTGTGGCACCGCTATGCCTACCCTTCGACTTTCGTTTCGCAAGTGCATTCCAGTTTTAGCAGCTGTATCTTCTAATCGTTTTATAGTTATATTCTATCAGGACAGTAAAATAGGCAGTTTAAGCCGTGAACTCGTACTGACGGACAAATCAGGGCCCTACTTCTCGGGTTTTTGACTCCTTCTGACTTTCTTCACTTTGCTTCGACATTAGGCACCTCTGCCTTACTTGAACAACATCGCGTTGTCGTGCAAACTGCTTATGTCGTTAGGGTTTCTATCAAATGTTTACAGGAAATGAACTTGGCGAACTCTCTGTACTTCTATCACCATGCAACTCATCAGGAAAAGAGCTACTCGGCGAATATGTTGATGATCCGAAACAAATCGTAAGTCAACTGGCTATTACCGCTTGTGGGTAAGATTTCCGCTGCGTAGTTCGGATTGGGTTAATGAAGGTACGGGTTCCAAGGACTCCTGATCACTTGCATATTTATTTACCTAGTTGCCATTGAAGATATTCCAAGTAAAGTTTATTGATATAAAAAAGGAAACGAACTCACCACCAATCTCTCCGAAGGAAAACGGTGTCGACCCTCTCTGACGGTAGAGTAGACCACCAAATTTTGGATCTCTTAAACAACAGTCCGCCATTTGTGAGTGCTGCATCTTAAAAAGATTGCTGTCAAGAAGTATGCTCCATATCCCCCAGCTGAGCCAGAACGCTGCCTCAACAGTAAGGGAAATTAATGGCTATCAGGGAATAAATTGGCAATATAAAAAGGTCCTTACATTAGGGGGGGGACATTCGCAACACGGCATTCAAAACCCGTGATGAGGTGATACAAGGTCTCTGCCCAGAAGACCCAGGGTGAACAAAAATTGCTCACATTCTCCCACAGGATCCCCCTCTCCTCCTCCCTAAGGCTCAGTCCTGAGTACTGGAAGTGGTTCACTCAGTTGAATGCCCCCCTAACGACATGAGCGGCACGACCAAAAATGTTGTCCTTCTGTAGCTCATTTTTAAGCATGAGCTTGGTGTTGATGTGTCTGTTTGTCGATGTGAACTGCGCATGTCGGTGCATTGTCCGTCTGTCCGCAAAATGTAGGGTGTATGGAAAGTGTAGGAAATTATTACGGCCGATGTCAGACTTTGCGAATCGCGCGATTCGCTAGCGTCTGCGGTCGCGTCGCGGCCAGTGAATCACTCAATTGGCTGGTACCGCAACGCGACCGCGGACGCTAGCGAATCGCGCGATTCGCAAAGTCTGACATCGGCCTAGGGTAGCAGGAGTGGGAATCCTACAGAATATTGAATCATTAATTACATTATTGATAATAATAGCAAATAAAACATAGAGAGAGGCTTCTCATTCACATTTAATTTCAAGGGTCACCAGTGCTGGCAAATTCATTCTTTCCTAAATACACATTCGATTCAGTCAGGTCGCTAATCTAGGCGAGTGTTATGACAACAATTACTTTATTTTTGTATTGTAGCAGCTAACTTTGCATTCGTACATACGCCGATTGTATTAGGCGCACCTTGAGTGCAATAATAAATAAATAAATAAATAAATAATGCGTAATCTATAGGGACTGTAATGGGCGCTAACTAGCAATTGGAACTCCCAACTGCTATACTATAATATAAACTGAGAACACTTCCCACACGGCGCGTTATCGGACCTGGAGGGGGGGGAGAGGACGATAGAGAGGGAAACTAACAAGAACAAGCCCGAAGTTCCGAATCAGCGGACGTTTCTTTTACGTCATGATTGTAGATAAGACCACTATTGAGCCCCCCCCCCTCTTCGGGCATGACGCAACCATTCCCTAATAGCCTAGTAGGGACCTGGTGACCTATTAAGTGGACGTTAGCGCAACGGACAGCATGAAGCCCCCGAAGATGGAATGGTCCAGACGGGCATTTATGGACATTGCATCAAAGCGATGGGCAAATAAAGGGCACATAAAGAAGAATCGACTAAAATTAATGTTGGAAGAATCGCTTAAGAATCTCACGAGGAAAAGAAAGCACGAGAGAAAATAAGGGTCACCATAAACAAATATAAGGAGAGAATAAAGACATCAAAAATTTATACAACCAAAACAAAGTCAAATTCTCTGGTTTTTTGAAATCAATTCTTACAACCTTGCACAGTTATAAAATGACAGAAATAGAAGCGATGAAACAGAAACGTAAAAAAGAAACAGAAAAATTCATTGGAAGGCAATTCAAAATAGACGGAGGGGACACAGTCCCACGAAGGCGTCGCCTGGATGGGTCCCGTCCAAGCGAAGCAATATGGATCGAAGGGGTCGGAACTTCGTACAATATTACGTGACGGCCACAAAAACCCCGATTTTTACCAGATAAGGAGGCTCCACGGCTGTTGTGAAAGCGATACGGTTCATGGATCCCGGAGCTCCATCTTGCTGCAAAAACGGGGAAACTGTGGGCGGCACGAACTATTGCACCAACTGTCCCCCCCCCCGTATTGCGATAGCGAAAACATCGAAAAATAGTAATACTTGTAGGATAACTTACCAGCATTGCTTCCGTTCCTCTTCATTCCGTTCACGTGATCTTGTAAATCAATCGCTGTTGATCTCGCCAAATCGAACGCGACGCCATCGAGCGATCAATGACGCTGCTATTCTAGGACCAAACTAAGGGGTCGGCAAAAAACCGGACAAAAAGTAAAAATGAAAAAGAAATGAAATAATCCACTCGGAAGCACCCGGAGTGCGTGGCGCACTCCAACAAAATCTCAACCATACTATCTTTTATTGTGCTTTCGAGCGCCGGGTTGACTGCTACAATGAGCGAGTTCTACAAAAACAGTGTCGTCATTTATCTGGGGAAGTACCAGCTGCACGCGTCCTGTTGCCTAAACTATAGACCACCTTGTTTCCGGCGGCTAGAGGAGTCTGCACTACAGACTCCACAACAAAGTGACGACGGCCTCCAATAATCTGATAATTAGTGGTTCATAGTGATAGCTGATAGTTGGTAAATGATAGTTGTAATTAGTGACAACTGATAGAATACAACTGCAACAGGCTAATCATTTCATTGGCAGAAAACATTACATTTTGTGGAGGCTGTCGTCATTTGTGTTGTGAAGTCTGCAGCGGACTCGCATCACGCCGGATACGAAGGGTATCTCCTAGCTTATAGCCTAATATAGTTGAGCAGTCATAAAAAATAAGTAAAGCATTGTGAATTGGTAATCTTCTGCTGAAGTTTAGATCGGCAAAAGCTACGGCTTTATGGTGAAGATCCAGTCGGCTAGAGGCTTGCCACGTCGTATCGAAAAGGTTCACTGTTTCAGATCTTTACTAATTTAATAAGTTATAATTATCAACGCTAACTCTTCGAAAAATAAAAAAAATTTGAAGGAATCTTTATATTTTCTATACGTTCCAGTAAGCGCCGTGCTTGCCGGTTGCTACTCTGATCGCGGCAATGATTGCATGCGTTCACCACAGAAACTCAATGTTGTATCCATCAGTAATGAATTAAACCAAAAAACCAAGTATCCTCAAAATCACATTGATCATATGGGCGTGGCCTGCACCCTCTCCCCGTGGAATCTGATCACTAAAGGCAGCAATGACTATTAGAAAGCAGCCAATGAGAAATCAAGGAGAGGTGGTCCGTGGTGCCGACATGAAGAAAAAACATGGGAAATGGCCAAAACCAGAAATGGGACCCGTTTTCTGCCCGCTGACTTGCACTTTGGCCTATCTCAGCGGTGTCGACCTCGTCAACGCTCACGCTCTCTCTCTGTTGGGCGACTAGAGCCAGACGGCGAGGGGTGGGCGGGCAGCGGTGATAGCGGCGCGAGGAGGGCCATACTAGGTCGCCTAAGAATACCATTCCCTACGAATTGCGTGTCGGTTCGCACCCTCGAGGGGGGGGGGGCTGCCTTTCCACTAGGTATGTTTCCCTTCCTTCGACCTTCAACCTTATCGTGGAATCCTCCTTTGAACGTAACTCGCCTACCGCTCCATTAGGACCTCTGAATTAGCATTCATTCGGTGTCAGTGACTGTTAAATTCAGTGAGGCTCAACACTAATAATTGACAAAAAATAATAAATTAAATATCTAACAATTAGCGTGCAGTCCAATTCATATAAAGCAATACAATTATTTAGCAGTCTAATTATTGATTTCCGGTGAAGTCAGCAATTCCAGAGTTCTTGCAAATACAGTTTCTTCAACGGAAAAGAAATCAACACACAAATGCTTTCTGGAAACAGTCCTTCTTATGCCCACGAGCAGATCTTTCAGTATAAAGTGATATCACCTGAGGTAAGTGTAATGTATTTTTTGAAAAGGAAGCTGGAGATATCCAGATAATTTACGTGCAGTGAAATAATAAATGCTATTAAATACAAGGGCGGAAGTGGTGTAGTGGCAAGTGGCACGCTTACCACGCGAGCGGTCCGGGGATCAAATCCTGGGTCGTGAGTCCCGGGCCAACCAAGCCTTCCATCCCTCCGGGGTCGGTTAATTGGTACCAGACTTGTCTGGGAGGATAAAAAACACTGACTTGACACAGGGTGCGCCAAAATTACGGAGACAACGCATGAGCAAACAATTTGAACTGATATTCACAGATGCTGTTTTCTTCTGTCCTAGTTTTGGGTACTGTGGTGTAGAATTGTTTATGCTTACCTTGTTCAACCACCAAAATCTATGGTAGCTGCAGCGGTTGACTGATACTGACACCGTCCCTAAATCATTGGACTTCGACGTTGAGGGTTTTTGGCACGCGACAATTATCATCGTTTTGGTGTATACCCGAGCACTATCAATAGATGCTCCAAATGGTACAGGGGACAAGGAGCTGAATGCAGTCATTCTGGATGAGAAGGGCGTGTTTCTGTGGCGACCACGAACAATCTAAGGATTGTGTGCGATAGAATTTGCAGGTAGTTGACGCGCTGGTTTCACTGGATGTCACGAGAGATAGGAATCAGGGGGGCTCTTTTGGACTTATCAGAGCCCATTGCTATCCTGAGTTTATTTTCACTTTGAAAATCGTTGCTGGGCCTTCCATCAAGTAGGAGCTCCCGTTTACGAGGCAAGGGTGGTTCAGTACTAGTGCAGCATTGATGCAGAACCGATTTTTTCGACTTTGTCGGCTTAAACGGTGGTAGAACAGCATTTCAGATCTGAGCTCGATAGGGTACGCTGTCGGATCCGTTCTAGAAGCTGAGGCTTGCATAAAACACATTATGTCTAGGGATTCGTTGAAGAAACCGCTCTAAAATGAGCTTGACGAGTCCTACTCGCCACATTGCGTGCCACAGTCGATGGTTCCTCGATGTTTCTGAGGACCCGTATAAACAAACCAAGGAATTTCAAAAATTGCATGGATGTCGACGATTCAGAATGGGACTGTGCACGTCACTGCATTTTTGTTTTCAAAGAATTGCACCTTGCTCATCCTAGGCAACTCGAAGTCGCTGTCTCCGTAATTTTGGCGCACCCTGTACATCGGCTGGCCCCCGCAAGTCATTGTATAGGCCACATCGCATTCAAACGCCACTACGAATGTACAAATGGAAGAAGAATGCGTGCCGCATCCCAAAAAGGGACTGATCAACGGCAAATGCTTTTATCCTTTTATTTCCTTTATTACAATAAAAAAAGCAAACTATTTTGATTAGCACAGGTGAGTTTGGGTGAAGCGGTACGAAATCGAGGCCGGCCTTTAGAAAAAAGACGCCGTAAGGTATGGACGTGGCGCCTCTGATTGGTTGACTGCTCTGACTCCACACTGGAACATCCAACCACGCCCACTAGGCGAACCGTGGGTGGAACCAGGGTCAACCGTCCGTTTAAGCTAGCGAACAGGGGATAGTGGTCATATTCGTTGTGTTGGGAGAGGACCATAGTTTGAGGTGAAGCGAGGTAAATCGCTTTAAAAGTGCGAAACGGTTGTTGTACTTATGGAAGTTGAAGGGGTGGTGTGGGAGAAATGGCCGTTTCACGCCCTTTTTTGATGGTTTTGGTATAATGCACAGCTCCAGAAAAACACTTTCCCTTTGCTGCTGCACATTCAACCAAACCCCCCACCCCAGCCCGCCACCCCTTCCTTCTCCACTCCACTACCATTTTGGAGGAAAAAAGAGAGCGCAGTTAGAGCATGTCGAATGGTCAACCGAAGTCAAAAGTTGAGAAGCAAAAGATGGCGAGGGTGGAGGTGGGAGGGGGGGGAGGTGGCGTCCTCTTAGGTGACCTACCCTATCGGTGTTGGCAGCGGGGTCATATAGAGCCCGAGGAAAAGGAGGTTCGTAAACCTCTTAAAAGTGCGAACGCGACATTTGGCCCTTGACGGAACGCTGACTAGGTTTACCTTCACAAGAAGCGATTCTATTGGTCTATCGGTTGAGATATTTCTTCGAATTATTTTCACATTTCTAACATTTCTAAGGCAGATATTTAGCTTGCGGACTACCTTCTGAACTCGAATCTTTGTATTTCACTCTGGGGTACACAGAAGGCTCGACAGCTCAGTGTTTCTTCAAACCAATCGAGCCGACGGCGACAGTCAATGACCGTAAGACTGTACTCTTTTCTTGTAGCGGCTATGAAAAAGATCCAAAGCAGGGAAGCACTATTTATTATCAAAAGGGATTTCTACTGCATTATTATGCCATTTAGATATCTGTATGTTTAATTACTTTCTCGGATAAGCATAATGTTCATGCGATTCCTTCCTACACACCAAGACCGCGTAATCGCAACGCGACCGCGTCGCAACCACGCCCACTCTTTTTTCTGGAAACCTAATTTAGACTAAGCCTTCCACTACCATCACAACCCAATGAACAAAAATGTTGTGAAAATTTCAGCGCTAGATTCAGAATGAACTTCGTTTAGGAGCCTGGTGAGAAAACTCGACCACGGAAAAAACGACCATCATCACAAGCACCAAAGATTCAACGTGATGAAAATGAGGCACCACGATCAGGGTATCTTTTACAATTATGTATGATGTGAAGTCCATACCCATGTAGTCTCTCGTCGTGCAATTAATAATTCACCATCGTGGTTGCTCGCAGTTGTCACGGGCTTAACGACCTACACTTCGACGGCAAATGACCGTGGAATGAGATTCTTATTTCCTCGTTTTCACGTTTTGCATCGCTGCAGATCAATATCGAATCGCGTTAGTAAAACACAGACTATAAACAATGCAAGTAGAAGTTACAGAATCGCGACCGCGCGCACCAATCGTGCGTGAAACTCACACGCAAAAATCCACGCGCTCTAAACGGCATTTTGGATGCTTCATTTCAGATTAGTCGCTCAATTTACATTCCCCATGGCTGGACCTGCCGTAAATACAGACTTAGCAACATATGGGCAATAACACGTGGAAAATCAATAGCATCAATCGTATCAAAAGTACACACAATATCGATTTTTTCGCGGCTAGTCACTTGTCATATCAAGTAGGCAACAAAGTATGCCATTTTTTTTCAGAACTGAAGAGAAAAACGAGAAAACCAAAGAAGAAACCTTCGTCGAAAAACCGAAGACCGAAGAAGAAAGCGTCACAATCAGAAAAATGAAGCATCTGTGAACAATTTTCATTTATGGCTTTGTGTTAGAGATTTACCCATAATAAATATTTCATAATGTTTCTGCATTTCATTCGTGAACAATCAAATCTTCCCATTCCAAACCCTTTAACATGATAATCTAGGTTACTGCATATACCACGAATTTTATTCTTGTAAACAAACAACCACAAACCATTCAAAGTTTAATTCTTAAGAGGAAGTGCAGTGCGGTCCGTCAAAATGACTGGACACTTCAACAATCAGCTGAACAAATAAATAGTTTAGAATGGAAACTCTTCAACTTCCTAATACCCCGTTGTGCAGGTGGAAAAAAATAAATAGTTACAACGACGAATCTATTAAATGCAATTCAGTGCACACCGAACACATCAATATCACGTAATATGGTCCATGCCGTTTTAAATGAATCCGAAATTATAAGATTTGAAAAAAAAGTCGTATGATCTAAGCAAATGCCCATGTTGGGCAGACAAACAGGCAAAAAGCTGAACTAGAGAGGCAGAGCAAATCCAGCAATTGATCGCGACGCGTTATGACCGCGCGCGTCAATTGCCGGCAGCTCAAAAGATCTACTTGGTGATGTGGGCTATACAAAAAATGAAAAAAAAAACAAAAGAAGACCGGCAAACATCAGGCATCAAGGTAGAAATCTAGCGTCACAGAGGAAAAGTCGCCAAATGAGAATGATTTCGACAATTTATGTTTCGATATGGAGTTTGTAAATCAGGCCAGATACGTACGATTGATCAACAAAAACGCGCTCTTCTTATTGATTAGCTCTCTGAACTGCCCCTTAATTTTTCACATAGTTGCATAATGCCATGATCGTCCTCTGATGGACGCAAAGCAGAGGACGGTACCCTTGCACAATGGCCAAACCCTAACCGTTACAGGCACGACAACGGGAAACAGCAAACGAGTAGTTTTCATCTAGAACTGGCCCAAAATCATTCTTCTGAATTAGGGGAAGATTGGAAAGAAAAGATACCTGTTTCATAACTGGAAAAAGAGGCTGAATGCGAATGTATCCTATTCGATAACCATTTACAATGTAGCGCAACGGTTTTCCAGACCTTAGCAGACCATCAAAACTACATGTTCAAGCCTGATTTTCAAAACACAAAAACATCGCAGACTTCACTCAGCGTCTACACCCCACCCAAATCCACCTGGTCGCTCGTCTTCCGTCACTGGTTCGACAGTTCGCTCATCAAAGAGCCATTTCAGCCAGCCTGGTGTCACCAACAGACGCATACCATGTTGTTGGTGAGGGAACACGTCTTCCAAGAAGAAATAGAAGTGACCGCAAGCGATTCCTATAATTCTACTATTCTATTCAGGCATTGTGTGCGAAGAGGTTTTAATCACTAGTTAGGGAATATAACTGCCAATTAAGCTATGAAATAAACTATGTAATGGTTTTGATATAGCATCGGAATTTCGACAATGATTCCTTGAATACTAGAATATTTCTATTGAATAACTGTCTCGTTCCATAGTTAGCAAAATCGTAGGCAGACGGTGTCCATTTTTCTTTTATATCAACAAGATGCCTATATTTGAGCAAATTAGAAATGAAGTGACTTACCCATAAAGTCTACGATTGCGTTGTTACCCAATAAAAGAGAAAACAGCAGAAGAACCCAAGGTAAATATGGAGCGGTGAACGACAGCACTCCAAAGAAGTTCATCTAAAATACTTCTTAGTTCTGATATCTAATTAGACAGTTGAGAAATCTTAGAGATGCAAAATCGGTAAAAAGGCAAAACAAGAAAAAATTGCCTGAATATGAGGATTGCGACGACTCCATATGTACACTAACATTATTGTGAATGCCTGACCAAGAAATACCATCTGCACAAAGATACCGCATATAATCTGAAAACCTTCACATCAGTGTCTCTTCTGGATTTTCATGCCCACTCCAAAAAACAATCGCCGATTAGAATTGAGAATTAACAGAGGTGCATGTGAAAGCCATATAATAATGTACACAGGCCAAAAGGAGCCTCCTCCCCTCCCCAGAACTTCACGACCCTCACCACCACCATCAGTTTTACGGAGGGAGAGCCACCCATTCGACCTCTCCCACACCGTCCAAAATGGTTACTTCTAAAGAATTTAATGTATTTGCTGAGATCAGCCGTTTCGTTTTCTCCAAGACTTCCATGGCGAACGGTAGGAAGGGCAATATGACTTGAGAAAGGGCAGATTCTGTACCTCTGCTTATTTCATGTGCTTTTTCGATGAAGTTCCCAAAATTTCCGAGAGGCCCATCAAATGACCTCTCTCCTCATTGGAACACAATGCCTCATTACGCCCTCAATTACTCTAGATGTTCGAAAATCTCACACCGGGTTCTCCCCATAAGTCACACAACTGAAAACCGGAAGGTGAACTGTTCCGTGCTGTAGCAAATAAACCTCTCTTCGTTGGTGTAAATTATCAACAGCGGCGACGGTGCTTCGGTTCGCACTTGCGATCCTCTGGAAAGTTAACGATGCTGACGTGCACACCGGCTGGTCCACAAAAGTCAACGTAGCGGCCGAATCGCATTCAAATGCCACTACAATTCTTAGTGGAAGTAAAATGCATGGCACGTCCCAAAAAGGATTGATAAACGGTGAAAACCTTATCCATTAGTCCTTCAGTAACGTAGACATCGGCATAAAATCCGATGAACTAAAATATGCAGCTCTATAAAACAAAAAATTTCTTTCTGGAACAGGCGCCGGCACTGCTGTGCCTTGTTGTGAGGGTGTTCGAAGTCTCAAATGTCCTTATCCTTCTTTGCTTTGAAAGGTGATTTTTGTTTTGGGGTTTCTTGGCGGTCCACTCTTCAGCTTATCGACACGATGGTGGCCCTTGGTTCTCCAGCGGTTTCTTTCTGTCTTTATGGTTTTTATCCATAGTCTCTGCTCTTCGGTGCTTCATGAGAGTCGGGCTGTTCCTACTTTGTTCAGCTAATTCTTCCCTTTGCCCTGCTCAATATTATTTACTGGTCATCCCACGAGTGCTTATGTTCAGGGTGTACTGTTTGTTTTGTTTGTTTTGTTGTTGTTCTAGTTATCCTGACACGGTTCGGTTTGTTTTTCTGGTTGTTGCCGATGGTGCGCCTCGAAGTAGCACATCATGGAATAATAAATAAATAAATAAAATAAATAAATAAAAAAGAAACATTCAATATCAAACCATTAAAATTCCTCCGAGAAGAAACATATACACAAAATCAGCTCTTCGACCACGAAACGAGACCACGAAACGAGCCTTCTTCCAACATCATGCAATACCGATATGTAAATATCATATTGAAGAGGAAGCTAAAGCCAAAAGATCCAAAGAAGCAGAACGATGTGATCAACCGCCAGAACTGAAACAGATTAATAAACTGTATTAGAGCAGCATTTTTCAGGTGTTACAATCTCACTTCTCATATACGCAATATTACCATCACTCTAGTCAAGATACTACATTACGAGTTTAGCTACGCACGATACTGTCACAAAAAATCCCTCTGGGTAAGTTATTCGGTACCACACCTGTTCAAGGGGATAAAATCACTGAATATTATAACGACTGGCCCCGCAAATTACATAGACCAAATCGCACTCAAAATGCCGCTAATTGCGAATGAAAGTAAAATGTCTGACGCATCCATGTGAAGCATGGGTGACAATGCACGAAGCCCACATTAGCTATCACTCGCCCACCGCGCATACCTCTCTCATTGCTTTAGCACAACTGCACCAGGAGGGTGAGCAAGCCTCTAAGGAGTTTTCAACAAATTCTTTTTTGTTTTCTCTTTACTGCGGTCCCACTCCGCACCAGTACTTTCGCATTCGACAGCAAGAACCGCACCGGTTTCATCTTGGGGCATGTGTTTAGGTGAGTGTAGGAGTAGCCGCAGTGAGTGGGCCGCGCACCTAGTTAGGCGAAAAGTGTCACAACTTCGAAATTCGGTTACGGGGCGCCCCGGAGACCAGGAGTAAGGGAGCAGAAGTTGGAGAAGGATGGGAGGTTAAACAATACTAGAGGGTGGAGCGCTGAGCGAGGGAGCTGGGGTTTCTGGAGCTGTGTACTGCCGCAAACTGCCGTCGCTGTCATTTGACGATATGATAGAGCAATTCAAATTCTCGAATTTGGATTCGACCAGCTCCGTTCAACTCTGGCACACCATCAACGTCTAGCCTCCCTTTCTTCTGCAGTTTCCAACACTTTTTTTCGCATCATCTGGGGAACGAATTAGAAGGCTCCGTGAGAACCCCGCTCCACGAACTACTTGAACTCAGCCCTTTAAACCGCCTCTGCGAACTCTCGTGGGTCCCTCTCCTCTCCAAGAAAATGAAGCAAAACAAGAAGTAAAGTGTATTAGTCCTGAGGCTTTCACCCGTTCTCTAACCGTCTGTCTCTACCCATCGCGGTAGGACCACTGAGGAAAAATCAAGTAGTCCGTAAACCATAGCTGCATAGATGTAACAATTCAAAAACTGCATATCTATCATATCATACTATCAATCATATCTATGCAGTATATGCACAATACAAGCTCGAAACAAAACAATGGAGCAATGAACATAGAAGACATTCAAATTTTACCTGATATCGCTTTACAATCAAATCCCAATTGAAGTACAGGTGAAATGGAGTAATAAAGTCGAGTTGCTGAAATTTGCAACATTCCTTCATACATGCAGGTAGGAACATGAAAGTGTTAAAAAAGCACAGACTGGAATCTCAAAAACCGAACGCTAAATGATCGGAACAAAGTACCCTTGAGAAAAATCCCCCATATGAATAGTTATCTGAGTACGAATTTCATTCAAAATACGATGACGGCTAGCGGATGTCAGTCGCTAGGGCAGAAAACGACTTTTTATCCCAGAGAATGGTGTTTTGTGAACAAAACAAAGCCAGAAACGGAA